ATCACCATGGATCACAACGAATTCAAGCCATCACGTCCGCTCCACTAGCACCTAGTAGGATTTGCACAGTGTAAGATCATCCATTTCTTATCTAATCGTCATTGACGAAAAACTGGAGAAATTGCCACGTTTTCTCATTTTCATTCTTCAATTCTCTGAGTACCAGCTCGCGCAGTTTTTATCGTTTACATTCTCGTACAGTTTTTCGCCATTCCAAATGCATTCGCAGTTATCAGACGAAATTCGCGGGACGCGGCCAGTTCGTCGTTGCGGAAAGCAGAAAATTTCGGCTCATTTTCCCATAATTCTCCGCACTCGCTTGCTGGCGCGCGTTTGCCTGTTGGTTCCGCATTCGCATCGGAGTGCGTAATTCAGCTGTACCTAACGCTGGTTAAGGGTGGCTCCGGGCGGTCGGTCGGTTGGTCGGTCGGTGGGTGGGTGGTAGGTGGGTGGCAATGGGTCGGTCGCGAGAGTATGGGAAGGGGTGGACAGGCGTTGGGGTGGGTGTTCGGGGTAGTCGACGGACTGGCTGGTTGCTAGTGCAGGAGTGGGTGAACGAGTGGGTGGATAGAGACTCCGGGGGACGGTTGCGGCGGGGGGAGAGGGAGTGAGTCAGAGGGAAGAGGTGGCTCGGTTATTTGTGTGTCAGCCGCGTTGGGACTCTCTGCCCATCCTCCCCCATTCCTCGCTACCTCGGCCACCGCACCCGCCCGCCCCGCGCTCTTCCCGTTCAACCACCCCTGCAGAAACGCTCCGCACAGGGACGACGTCTGCGGATGTATCCGCGGGGTTCAGTACGTATATGTGTATACATATATATATATTCACGCTTGTGTATTATTATATATATATATATATATATATATATATATATATATAAAAATCACATGTATTATCATAACTGTATTATCATTTCATATATCATATATTTTTATATATAGACATTTTATATATGACGCTTTATATATAATTATATAAAATTATGTTTTATTATATCTAATTATATATAAAAAATTTTTACTGCGTATTTAATTATCGGGCGAGATTTTATGTATATAATAATTTTTATGAGTTTTCCTTTCCTTTCCTTTTCTTTAGTGTTATTATTATTATTATCACTCGAAAAAGAGAGAGATTAATTAAGTTAAAAAGGAAGAAGAATAAAGTTGAAAACTAAGATTTTGCATAAAATAAAGTTTTTATTATAATGAATTTTTTCATTAAACATAATGTTATAAAACTAAACATTTTTATTTTTGTGTATAATTAAAATATTTAATAAGATATAAAATAAAACATAGCACATATTTAATATTATTAGTTTTAATATCAAATCAGCTGAAGAAAGCATAATTTAATATCAATATTTTTAGGTAGACAAACATAGAAAAGATATAAAGACTATTTTGTTTAAATGGAATAAAATGGATGAATATTGCTTTTATATATATTAATAAATGGTGCGCATGTACGTGTGCACATAAAAACATATAATCCAGTTTAGATTAAAAAAGTAATATTTTATTAAATGAATATTAGCAATATAACATAATAACATCATAATAATATCTTATAATCCATTTAAGTTTGAAGATATGAAATTAATATACAATATCTTGTCTGAGATTAGTATAGCTTATCTTCTATTTTATTGACTATCTAATACCACATTTTTATTATATTTTTCATATTGACATGATACTATTTTAACATCACTTGACCAAACGAAGATCAATGCAAAATCAATATATATTCGATATTAGAAAATTTCTGTAAAGCTATACTGCTAAAATAATAGTAGATGGTTATACTGGATTCATAGAATTCCAATATTAGGGACTAGTATCATTTCTTCAAGTTTCATTGCCAACAATGAATTGCCATCAGTTATTAAGCTATATTTTGGACATTCCTACCAAATCCTACCTGAATTGTCTTCTCTCCTTTTCTTTTGAGAACGGAGAAGAACTTTTTCTTTTGTATCGAAGACAAATAATATAAAGGCCCAGCACGAAAGTAAGACGATCACATTCCACAGATTTTTTTTCCTCTTCTGATTAATATACAGCTTTTTGTCGAAGAAATGATGAAGAGAATGCGTGCTTCAACGTACATTCGGCTAGCAGAACATACGTATACTACTATTACGAAAAATGTTGGTAAGTAGAGCGAGAATTCCAAGACATACCTTCGGTATATGCGTTCTACGAGCTATTGGATTTATGACTCTAGATCACCGTCGCTCATGCGAATTTATCTCGCAATCAAATAATCGACAAACACAGGAAAAGAAGGAGACAAAAAGTTTGTTACAAAAGTTTGTCGAACCGTCCTCTCTCATTGATATTCACAGCTCCATTGCTCTCATGAGTTATCAGTGTTGATTACGTGTAAAAAAAAGCGAGAAATTGAATTTGATTCGATCGAGCGATTTATTTAATTATTAGTTCATAATTAATTAATCAATGATAGATAACGATAACTACGTGTCTTCTCGAATCTCTATTGTTTTCTCTTGTTTTCTTTAGATTTCCCGATTTTTAAATCAATCAATTTTAGATCTTTGTAAATCGATTAGTCACGATAGTTATTGTGTGTTATAATTGACCTGAACTGACAAAAAATTTTTTTCGAATACGAGGACAATTTTAATTAGGATTTTTGAATTTAATAAGTGAAATTGAATAAGAAAAAAGTGACTCCAACGATCTCTGCGTATTTCCCAATTGTCTAAATGCATGAACTCTTTTGTTGCACATGCGTTTCTCTTTTGATTCCATTTTTATTCAAATTTTTATTCAAAACAAGTTTTCTTTCTAATAAGAAACAACAGAGCAATATATTTAAAATATATAATTAAAATGGGACATCTTGTATAATACAGAAAAGAAAATAGCATAGTATAGAAAGTTTTTCTAATTATTATATTTTCTTTTTGAAAATTATGAAAATTTTATCTACAATGAGAACAAAAAGTCAAAATAAATCAGAGAAAATTCTGTTGTTTGCTTGTATGCACAAAGATCGAGTTGCGCATGCGCGAGCTTTGTACATTCAACTGTCAGCCAGTACTGTTAGATTGTGGGGGTTTGAAATTCTTAGGGCCACTTTTATCAACTTTATCTGCGGTTAATTTAATCGGCCGATTATTTAATTGACTAAATCATATTTGTTGTTAAATTTATGGACAAATTAATTGATCAATTCTAGTGGAAAAACTGACCGATTAAATTAACCGGAGTTGGTGAAAGTGGCTCTTAAGCCATAAGCGGCTGATCATATATATGTGTGTGTGTGTGTTTATTTTTGTTTATATTACATATTTAATATTTTATTTTATATATATACATATTTTATTTATTATTTTTAATAATTAATTTTTCCATATCCTGCGATTTCGAATGGCTTTCAGTTTTACATTTGTATTTACATTCACATTTGTATTTATTTTCTAACTATTTTGCTTTGTGTTATGTTACATATTTAATAAAATGTATGTTAATAAAAGTATTTTCATCATTATTTTCATTCATCGGCAAATCATAATCATTCGACAAAAATAGAAAATGATTCGAATGTTCAAGAATAGTGCAAGAGTCAGTCCGCTCATTGACTTTCCAAACGAATCTTGTTTTGAATTTTGCTTTGACAAAATTCACAATCGGGAAGGTTGTATTCCAAAATTTACCGTCAGCACTGATAATGTATAATAAATGTTACATGAACTGTAGATTTTTAGTACTAGTAGCGAATTTTAAAACACAACTTTCGTTTTGGCCATAAGGATGCAGTCAATTTGATATTATAAATGCTTCGAGGCATTTTTTGATTGAACAGTTGATAAAATTCTTTGTTCCGATTGGTCAACCAAACGCATTTGTAATGAGACTTTGATCGTACTTTGAACATCGACGTATGCGTAATAGGATCGAATGGTGGGGAGTCCTCCCAAGCCCCCACGAATTAACAGCACTGGCATCAGCTGCGGGGCGCTGTGTCGCTCACTCTTATTTCGTCGTTGAAGATGGCCGCTTGAAAATTTCGTCAACATGTGTCCTGCAACGATGTGCCCGTCTACGATTGATACTCTCGCTGCTGCGAAATCGATTGGAATTATCACAGCAATCAACGCTGATTTGAAGTGTCAAAGAGTCTCTTTTGGCTGTTGGAATCGCGATTTGACCAAAAATCCATCGCGGTGTTGCGAACGGTATTTCCTGCACGATCGTCACGCCAGCAAGCGCTGTAATATTTCTCGTAAGTGCATACATGCAATGTGTATGTGTACACATATACACACAAAACATGATAATGCGCACGGACGCATGCACGTACTATAAGTTTATTTTTTAATCGCTGTACTAGACTATATTAGAATTTTCCTTTTCACTTTTTTTCGTCAAAGTCCAAACATCCGTTTCATTTTAAATACAACACGTGTATACTAAAGTATTATAAAGAACAGATCTCGTGTTTCCGTACGCACATCGCGCAATATGTCGTACAATGGAGAAAATGACTCTACGTCATGACGCTAAGGCTGCATTCGGGGAAAGCGCTATTAGCACTATTGTGTCATTCTGTTTTCATCATTAAGAAAATAAAGATAGCGAGATCGTTAATAGCGTGCTCTCTGAACGCCACCTCACACACAATGACATGATTATTGGAGTATCTAGAATGATCATGACTCGTCGAGACGGCGTCTTAGGCCCTGCGCACAGTGGAGGAAATATTGGGAATAGGAATAAATACTAAATTTTAGAAATAAAAATTAAAAGTAATGTATGATGAATACAAATAAGTATAATCATATATATTTGTATTGTATGTTCGTTATGTGTTACGTTTAATTTTTATTCCAAATTTTCATTTTCAAAATTTGATATTCGTGTTCCTAATATTTCTTTTATTCTGCGCAGTGCCGTAGGATACCCATTATCTTCCATGATTATAAACACGCTTTTCTTTATCGTGTTATCGATCTTTTTTGTAAAAAGATAAATTCCTGATGGATATATTATCACTCATTACATTTGTGTAAGAAATATTTTTGATAATCTTATCGTTACCAGCTAGGCGTATGTAAACATTTACAACGCATGATCTTTTTCTAGCTGAATTAGTGTACACATTCGTGTACTTCAAATGAAATAGACATATTCAATTTTTTGTTTATCTGAAGTTGCTTTTTTTAATATTTTGTCTTTATGTTATAATCAAGAGTTTATTGAATTGTTAATAATAACAATTTGAGGCTATCCATTCTAAATATCAGAACACTAAATATCAGAACTGATTTTACGACTAATCCAATATTGAAGACAACGACTTTATATTACAATTTTATTTAATGAGATATTTATTTTAATAGCTTTATAAAAATTGAATTTTTATTTGTTATACATTATATAATTTTTGTTTATTGTTTTTAAAAATAAAAAAAATTTAAAAATATTGAAAATTTTACGCAGTATAAGATATTTTTTAAAGTCACTTTTTAATTTCTTTCGAAATTTTTAAAATTTTTAATTATTGGGATTCGATTTCTTCTTCTCTGGCTGTAAAGTCGAAGTTATAAACTAGTTATTGAAACTTGAGATACTTAATTTTAATTTATAATTTATAAACTTTTTATGAATGGAAAATATTAAGAATTTTGCATAATAAATACATATTTATTTGTAAAATACATTTAAAATTATTTTATTTTTTTTTTTGAATTTTTAATAAATTGCTTTGAAAATCAGAGTATTGGATTTTTGAATTTGATTAGATTTCTAATATCCATTTCCACTAATGTAGATTAACTTATCTTTTTTTAATAGAAAGTTAGGACTTTGAGAAAAATTAAATACAATAAAAGAGAAGAATCAAGTTATAATTAGTGCATGGAATTCTTACAAAAAGGTTACTTAATTTTCAAAGAATACATTAATACAGTAATAAACTACGAATGTTTTGATTTATTTTTAAGCCATTTTCAATGGAAATTTTCAAAGTTAGTTTCAAAGTATGTTAAAAAATTATGACTAATTATTTAATAGATAATTAAAATTTAAAAGATGTAAAAATAAAATAAATAAAATAATATTTACTGGTCAAAGCTTAAAAATCTTGATTCATCAGGATCTGGGAATCTAGTCAATCGTTTTTATGGCATTAAAAATATAGCATTAACAATATTGATAGACATATTTTTTCTGAAAAATATTAGCATTATGTAATAATTAGTGACTGAAAAGAGCTGAATAAAAATCTTTGCGTCAATTAAACTGTAAAGATATAAAAATAGATAATAATAATAATATCTTGTAATTGATTTTTAATTATCCTATTTTCACAAGTAAAAATTTAATTATGAAGATATGTTGAAATAGCTTGTTTAATATTCCGAAATTTTAGAAAAAGTTTAATCTGGTTGAAAAATGAAACATCACAACAATAATCAATACAAGAAATTTTGAAATTTTGTATTTGAAATGTGATTTATTGTATTTCATGTTAAATCTCTCATAAATTTCCTAATTTGTGAATAAGCATATTTTAAATAATATGTATATGTATTTTTCAGAACACAAGGATTTTATAAGAACACGAAGAAGTAGAGACAAGTTTCTAAGTTTGCTGAGTTAAGGCATACTGGGGATTTCTTGAATGCGCACGTTAGACTTCTCTAGCACCTCGTGTTCACCAACATTTTCCTCCTGTGAGAAATCATATAGTCTATGTAACATAGAAACACCTTCAAAAGCTATAATGGAAAAATTATATTTGGTAAAACGCATTTTGCGTAAAGAGGATAATGAATCGTCTATTGATGAAAAGAAAAGAAGAAGTGTTACTATCTGGCATAATTTTGTCAATGGATATCATAGAACGATTGCATATTGGCAAAATATGAATAATTCATTATCTGTTACGATTGTAAATAATGAAATAATAACTTCTAACATTTCCACAAATTCATCGAAGAAGACAATGTTAATTGCCAACAAGTTGTCGTACGATTTTGGACAAGAGCAAAATCTTGTACCTGATCTGTCGCAGAAGTACAAGGATTATGTAGACGCCTTGTATCCTACAATCAGATCTAGAATCAGAAATTCTCTAATGAATCATCCAATTTGGCGTTACAATACTACGCCGACTGAAGATTTGAAAAATGATATAAACATTACAAAGAATTTTGATGATGCATACGAGGATTATAATATAATGGAATCTCCCTTTGCGCTACATATTAACAAGACAGAAAAGCCAAAAATGGAAAATGATATAACTGCTGTTTCTTGTTTCTCGGATATTGATTTACAGCGCAAAATTGATATTGAAGATGATATGTCAGTGGATGTCGAATCTTTCCTTTTAGTATCTCATTCGGATGTGCCAGCTATACCCATAGATTTTGTTAGAGAAAATTCAATCTCGCGTTTGTCCAACGTTTGCCGAAACGCTTGGCATAATTTGACTAGCCGACTTCACTGTAAAATAAGGATGTCGACGGATCCTGGAATACTCATAAAGCCTCCAGTGTATCTTGCGAAGCAACACTATCGAAAGAGAGTCAACGCTGTAGCACTGCGCCGAGGTCGCGGTAGGGCAAAGAACCAGCTAAGACGTTCTGGGGTAAGCCAAACCGTACGTCGGATGGAACATATGGAATGCAACAATGAAGATTGGCAAAACATCGCACTAAATAGCACAGTATCAAACGATTACTTGGTAGACAATAAGCACGGCAATTTTGATGACACGGATGTTATTGTTCATAAATTCACAAGGCAAACCGCAATGCCTATGAAAGGAAAACCAAAGATGTACAAAAGACAGAAAAAGACGAAGTGTGCGACCAGAGTGCGTTACATAGCTGATTCTTTCAAGATGAACACTCACGATTACCACAATGATAATGATAGCAAAACGCATTATATGGAAAATTTATTTCAATTGCGATCATTGAACTCTGCTGATTCTGAAGATGGTTTTATCATTTTCGAGACCAGCGATGATGAATCGCTGGAAACACTTGAGAAACAAGGAGCGACAGAATGCCCTATCGAAACGCGTTGTGTACCTAAGTCTTCGAAAAAAGTAAACAGTCCCTGTAAGAATACCAACAAAACCCACAATGTGGAAGATTCACTTCGATTACGTTTATCATCGGAGAGTTCCACCGATTCTGAAAATAGTTTCATAGTTTTTCAAGATGTCGACAACGAATCATATGATGAGCAGGAAGTAACAGTGCATCCGAAAATATGTTTTATATCTAATATTTTGACAAAGATGAGCGACAAGAAATGCAAAAATGCTAACAGTCAAATACAAAAACATTCAAACCGCAACCGTACATTGTCGAATTGTTCTGAAAATTCCGAGGATAGTTTCTGTGTAGTTTTTGATACTGAAGAGAAAAGCATGGTCGACGATGACGACTATGACGACTATGAAACTGATGAGACAAGTTCCCAGAATGGAAATCATCTATTAGAGGATGAATCGATCAGCGAAGATGATCTAGACATCGAAAAATTAATAAAGCGAACAAAAAAGGTACTTATAGCTCTTTAATATTTACATCAATTATATTATGATTCATGTATAAGTAAATTTATTATAAATTTAACATATTAACATTGATATAAGATGTTTAAATGTTATTTTAATTTTAAAAACATTATTTTGTAAGTTTACTTTGTTGAATATATTAATTTAATTGATATTGGTATTTATCGCGTATGTAATTACAAAATTACAAAATTTTATATATATTTTTTCTTTTATTTTTTATATAATTCAAAATGATTGACTACTGGAATTTTTAATTATTATTTCATCATATAATACAGTGCACTAATGAGTTTGAAATTAATTAGATATTAAATGCCCATGTGTATACATATAGAATGCTTCAATACTCGTAAATTAATCATTAGAAACGGGGAAAAATAAAAAATGTAAAATAAAATTTTTTTATGAAATTATTTTCGAGAAAATCGATTTTAAAAGTTAATCGAATACTTAACTAAAATATCAGTAAATAAATCTTTATATAGACTATATCTTATTTATGTATATTTAAAACAAAAACAATATCAATGTCACATATTGATTATCAATTTGTGAAATTTCCCAAATTAATCTTCTTGTTTAGGATGATATGATGTTTGTAAATAAACATAAATGTATAATATTATATATTTTAATATTATTTAATATTATTTAATATTTAATATTTTATTAATGAAGAAATTATTCAAAATACTGGTACTCTATGGTACTGCATATAAAGCAATCAATATTGAAAATTGAAATTTTTTTTAGGTGAGTTTCGACCCAACTCCAATCGTACATGTTATGGTGACATGGGATTATGCGTATCGAGCAGCCCGGAAAGGACCATGGGAGGAAATAGCACGAGATAATGAAAGATTTAAAGGACGTATAAATTCCATCGCGCTTGTCCTTGATCCTATTTTAAAAAATAAACACCGTTCACGAATTTTTCAAGAACGATTTGCTTTATCGAAATAGCTAGCCCAATTAATATATTTTCAAATATTGAAGATGGCTGTGAACATTAGTATAAAAAAATTTCTTTTAATATGCGGTTAAAATTCATGTGGTATTCAGTAGACTATTTTCAAAATCTTTATTAAATAAAAATAATTACTGTAAAGTAATTGAAATTTCCTGATCCTTTTCGGATTGGGAGAAAAAAGAAAATTTAATCTGATTTAAAGCACGATACTAATAAAAAAAAATGATGAACTTTATGTGTCAATTTAATGTCACGCTCTCTTTTCTGATGCTAATACGCCAATTATATAAGAAAATTAATTTTATCTTTGGATTTTAAATGTCCATGTATCGTGATAAAGGTGTATTCATTTAAAATAACATTTATACTGAATACCAATTATGAAATGCATCTCTGATTAGTCCTTAATAGAAAATGTATTAACTAAAAAACAGTTATATATCTGTCGTTATCTAAAGAAAGGAAAAATATATGATGATTGTAACATACAGAATCCAAAACGCGTTCATGCCTTTTCATAATAGCGTTTATACACATTCGAAATTCCATGCTATATATGTAAGAAATATCTTAACGTTTTATGTTCACACGCATTTCAATGTTTTTTTGGAACTAGTTTTTTTGTTGTGTCATTTTTTTATTATTTTGTTTTGTAACGTTTGACATGCATGTGCAACAAAAATACAAAATTGAATGTACTCTCATTTTAATTATATGTAAAAAAACGTCCGAAAAAAATTAACGGAAAGAATAATAAATAATAACAAAGAAATAAGTGTATAACGAAATACACTACGTAAAAAATTTGAATCATTCATTTGAATCATTAAATTATATCATTTAATATTCTTTTTTATTAAACGTGAATTTTCTGATCGTGTGCTGTTATATCTTCTATCTTTTTTTTTGTTCAATAATCGATAATAGTAATTGGATCAGAACAGCTATTAGTGTTACAGATACGTAACATGTGACGATCGCTGTTTGAGAGGAATAATAAAATAATGATGAAAACTTAATCAAATGAGACCTCGAGAGCTTCATAAAATTCCATTAGTAATAATTTCTGTAAATAATATACAAAATAGATTAATTTGCACCATAATCGATGTATATAATTGTGTAACTATGTATATATGTAACGTCGCACGAAAGAAATTCATACACACACGTACACATGTAATTTTTATGTGAAAGTATAAGGCTAAATCGATACGGCTTATTATATTTATGTCATGGTATTTTTATTTCTTATTGATTTAATATTCAAAATGTAATAAAAGTGAAAAAGGACCGATTTTATCATAAATTAATAGTTTTCATGATGAATCTTTATCGACATCTATCTTTTTCCTTCTGCTGTAAATTTTGTTACCTCAAAAATATAAAAATTTGTAGAAAACTATTGTATATAGTTACATATTGTGAATGTACAAAGATCGTGTTAAATATGATAGACAGAAATAATGATTATATACTATGATATAGCAGATATCATTTCTAACATTTTTTTCAGGACAATATTGTCCAAGATTTGTAATTTTATTTAGATACTGATAACGTGTACTTACATTTATTGCTTTATCTATTTTTCACTTCATATAGCTAGTTTTTTTATAGTTTGCAGTGATAGATCCTAGAGACGAGACCAGTCTCGTTAAAAAGTATCGTATATTTGCTGTTTAAAAATGTATATTACAAAATACTATTATCCTTTAATTATAATATATTTTATAATAAATAATTTTAATAATTGGAAATAGAATTTATATAATGTGTATGAAATTTTATGTATATTATATAAATTTCAAATATGTTCTAAATATACAGATACACAAGTCAAAAATTTATGATGAATGATTTCGAACTAATCTTGAAATGTCTAAAAATCCTTACGAAAAATAGAAAAAGTAATAGGCATGAATATCAAGGTCTTGTATTAGTATCTAAGCAAAACTACAAATCCTGGATAGTATTGATTTAAAAAAAGGTTTTTTTTTATA